GCTGCTCACCGAGGACTACAGGCCGCTGGATGCGTCCGAGCGGCGCGAGTGCATGGGGGCCTTGTGTGAGGAGGTGGGGCAGGACCTCTGGGACCACCCCGTGCAGACGCTGGCTGTCCTAGCCGACATCCTCGAGGCCACACGAGAGGCCCAGTACCAGCCCTCACGATACCTGCAGCAGCAGCAGCAGCAGCAGCAGCCGGAGTACCGTCATGAGTTTGACTTCAGCGAGCAGCTCATGTACCTCCTCTTCACCAGCGCACAACAAGGCGGATTATCCACTGATAATGACGGACCCCGGACGTCATCAGGGGACTCACAACGTGACGACGTTCCCCGCGACGCTGTTCGCTTCGACCGAGGCGACGGGCAGCACCCCTCTCCGTCTCGTCTGCAGAAGGTTGCTGCAGCGCGTCTCGAGGGTTTGAGGCAGCAGGGCGCCCGGCTGCTGTCGACACTGCAGCAGCATCAGAGGCAGCTGCTGGGGCGGGTCCAGGCGCACCGTACTGGCGTCAGCACCGAAACATCCAGCGCTCTCGGCATCCACCCGCAGCCCTTCGCACAGGTTCTGGCCGCTCATGGCTGGGTCCCCTCACACGTCACCTTCAAGAGGGGGCCGGCCGAGCTGCAGCTGCTGCCCGGAAGAGCCGCACGGATGCAGCAGCCCCGGGAGGGACATCAGCTTAACTAACTAATCGTTCGTCGGGAGGGACATCAGCTTAACTAACTAATCGTTCGTCGGATCACTCCTTCACTCACTCACCTGCAATGTCAGACAGCCCTGCAAACAGACACGACACGACAACCGCCACACAACATGAATAACAGGCATCCCATCTTGGCCATTCCCTCCCCCTCCCCCCTCTCCCTCCCTTCATTGAATTGACCGACCAGTGTCCTGTGCGGCCATGGCGGGCATCTCCCACCCTCTGGGCGGCTCCCTGTCCACCGGCGGTGGCCGGTCGTCCCAATAGGCGCTGTGATACTGACCCCTGGGGGGCGGCTGGGGGCGAAACGGGGAGGCCTTGGCGGGCTGTGTGTATGTCACTGGCTGCAGCTCGATGGGAAAATCATAGTTGGGGAACGAGGGCCCACTGGGGTTGGTGACGACAACACCGCCCTGGTTGCTATTGTCGGGTGAGGGGGGCCTGGGCCTTCTCTCGGCCCGTTTGGCCCGACGAGCGGCCATCTCGTCCTCAGCGAGGGCGCCTCTCATCAAGGAAAGAAAAGCGTCCAGACTGACAGACAGCACACATGACATGCAGAATGAAGGAAGGACTGAGTGAATGAGGGAGCGATGGAGCGATGGAGCGATGGATGGATGGATGGATGTGAACCGCCTCCCTCAATCTATCCATCCAACTCACCTGGGATTGGCGCCAGGCGAGCGTGTGGTCCGTAGGTTCTCATACTCATCCACGAGCCTCTGCGCCACATCCCAGCCATCGAACCGTCCATAAAGCGCCAGACTCTCACCCAACGTCCCCGTTAGCCGCGACCCATCGCTCGCAGGCAGTGGACCCATCCCAGTCGACCCTCGGACGACCCGCCGCACCAAGCTCTCCCGGTAGCCCTCAGGCCGGTACTCGTCAAAGAGACCGCCAAGCGCGTCACCCACATAGCCACCGATGAGGGCGCCGCGGAATCGGTCGAGCGCGCGGAGTTCGCGGGCGATCTCCTCTTCGCTCGGAAACGGATTTGCCCTGACAGACAGACAGACAGACAGACACCAAGGAACAAAAGACCAAACAACCAAGGTGTCAACATGACCTTGAACGAATGCATTCATCAGCTGAGTGTGTGCACCTTCCAATGCGGTCTTGGGGCGATGACAACGAGTTGAGGCGATGCACTCGTCCTGTTCTCGAAAAGGGCCGGCGTGCTGACCATCGCTGCGCCTTCTTGACAGAGGGAAGCTTAACCGGTGTCAGATAGGCAGCGGGGCATCTCTGCTCGCCTCTGGTGATGGTGAGGATGTCAAGCAGCAGCATGGACAGGGCCCATGAGCAGGACGAGATCTGATAGATGGATGATGCGCATGAATCGAAGAACAACAATGGGATGTGCTTCATGGCGGGCCACTCTCCTCCCTCAACATTTCAGCCCCAGATCTCGGCGCGCGGGAGTTCAGCGCGCGGGAGTGCGATCTTCTCGCCGTGGATCGCGCAGATCTGCAGCGGGCTGGAGGAGAAGAAGAGCCCTGAAGAAGAGCGCGTTGCATCCTTGTTATAGTAGTTTTCAGATGCCGGCATGGTTTCGTGCTGAATGGGCCTTCCCATGCTGTCGTCGATGGCGCAACAGACTGGTGCAGTGCTCCGTGCTCCAGTGTGCAGTCTGTGGTGATCTCCCGTGGCTGCCGCCCCATCACTAGCTCCACTGGAGTTATCCTATCTCTGATTAACTCATGGCACTCGTGGAGGCTGAGGCTGCCGCCTTGCCGGCAATGAGGCCGAATGAGTTGCAGTACGTCGTGCACGACTTCTGGCGGAGCACATCCACGTCACAAGTGCTCATCAGCCCAGGTAAGTAAGGTACTCACACGCGCCTTCGATGAACGGTGGACACACGACATCACTCGCCCTCCTTAGTGCTGCATACATGTGTGTGTGTGTGTGTGCGTGTGTGTGTGGTGGGTATGTATGCAGGTGTGACGACCGTCGGCGACTTCACGTTCGGCTTGCAGGTGCAGCGTGTGGACCGGTCGCCCGCAGCACACGGGCTGACGTCTGATGGCGGGGGGAAGGGCGGGAGGGGGGATGCGGCTGGCCGGGCGAATGCGTCGATATCGATATGTGTGGAGGTCATTCGGGAGCAACACACATACGGAGTCGACTCATGGTGGTTCCCATCCGTCAGGTAGGTAACCTACCTACTTGTCTGGACACGCTACCTACCGATGACATGAGTGCATCCCATCCACCACCCCGCCGGATGGATGTTGACGATGCATGTTGGTGTGGTGTGCATGTATCATTCACTTCATACCTGCGCAGGTATGAAGTGTCGGTCATCAACTTCAAGGATCCGTCACGCACCATCCGCCGCCAGGCCGTCTGGACCTTCTCCGCCCAGTCATCCGTCGTGGGCTTCTCTGGCGTTATCGACCCTTCTCGCACCAACAAGCGGGAGGGCTTCTTGTCCGAGGAGGGCTCTCTCGTCATCCGCCTCTGGGCCCAGCCGTCACTCTACCAGCTCGGCTCGCCAGGGCGACATCTGGTGGGTGGAGAGCCGCCGCCGCCCGAGCAGTCCATAGCTCAGGCTTGTGGCGCATCATCTTCCTCTGCTTCCGCTGCGGCTCCCCCAGCCCCAGAGCCACCCATCGCCCACACGTGTGGCAACGCCATCCCCGTCATCGATGGTGGGCCCATGGACACCGACTACCTCGCCGTGCTAATGGAAACCCTCCTCCACGTCACGGCCTTCCGGCAGCAGCTGCTTCTTCAGGCCCTCAGCCGTCGCCTCACCGGCCGGTCCTGCCTGCTCGACACACACATGGGAAGAGCGAGGGTGACCACCGCCAGCATGGCAGCAGCGTGTGGGTATCGTGAGCTGGGAACCGATGGAGTCTGCGCCATAGTGGCCGACGAGGTGTTGCGGAAAGGAGGATTCGATACTGGCTGGGGTGAGGCCTTCACCCCAGCCTACAATGCTGTCGTGGAGATGCGGACGGCCGTCGACGCGCTCCGAAAAGGCAACTGCCTGTCGGATGGTCCGTCTGTGCCGGTGGAGGCTTGTCGTGTGGTGTATCCGCCCGGCTTGTACCGGAGGGCGGTCGCTGCCGTCAACAAGTGCCTGCTGGCGTCCATCGAGCGGCTCGTGAGGCGCTGTGTGCAAGAGGGGGAGAAACAAGAGGTCGGCTCTGAGCGATCCGATGCCGCAACAGGCGACACACGGTCAGCAGCAGCACGAGAGCCGTCATCATGACGAATGCCACCCTCATTCTTGGTCCCCTGTATGTGCAGAGGTCCATCGAGTGACGACACATCCCCTCCCAGCAAGCCAGTGCATGAACCGCATCATCCGGTCGTGGATCTGCGAGCCGAGCTGTGGCTGGCAGGGTGTGTAGTCGACCTCACAGCGGCGTGCCACCTGTCCGCTATCGAGCTCCAGGCGCTCCAGCCCTTTACCAATGGTGGTGGCATCGCCCCGACCCCTTTTCTCAGATACACCCAGCCACCACCACCACCAGCAGTTCCAACCGGTGACAACGGCGGCCCTTCCCTCCTACTCTCCGAAGATGACGTCACCGGCAGCATCATGCTCCACCCCCTGCGAGTTGGCGGCATTCCGCGGGCAGACATCGACAAGGCCAACAAGGCCGGCCACCCAGATGACCCAATCATGGCGTCGCTTCTGACGCCCATGACCATCGCAGCTGGGCTGAGGGAGCTGCAGCCGGCACTCCAGGCGCTTCTGCGGCTCGCCGGCGCCATCCGTGAGGCGACGACTTCGTCCAACACCACCACTCGCCGCGAGAGTGAGGGTTGTGCGGAGGGCAGCGATGCTGGCGAGTCAGTGAGGACCTCAATGGAGCTTGAGACCACCAGCAGCACCCCACCCAATGAGTCGACAAACAACCAGCAGTTGTCTCCGAAGGATGGGGACTACGGCCTGTCACTGGCTGACCTGGCTATGGCCTTCTCAGACGCATGGGCAGACCGACTTGGCCAACATCCCCTCGGATCATCTGGCTGCGGGGAGGCATTGGAGGAGCTGGTGGACATGGTGCTGCAGCTGCTCCCATCGACGAGAGATCGGAGGAGCGAAATCCAAAGGGCGTTGAGGAGGGTGTGCAAGAAGCAGAGGGCGGCCTCGGAGACCTATGGGAAGGGCAGCAAGGATACGGGCACAGTGACGAAGGTCGACCTGTCAGCCTTGTTGGCCAGTCTCGGGTGGACGGATCTCTCCGCCTTCTGCCACGCCCCCGCGGCAGCCTACCGCTGTCTCTTGCAAACAACCCAGGGACCGTTGCAACGGATCCTCCCGGCACTGCTGCAAATCCAGCTGGCTCCCCCACCATTGGAGCTGGCCGACACAGCCAGGCCGACACCATCACCGGCACTAGCACAGCAGGGGAGTTCTTCCCCCGCCACAATCGCCCCCATCCCCATCCCTAGTAGCACACCGTCTCTCTTCATCGAGCATGCCGTCGACTGCCCCTCATCTGCCGGCTCCATCGTGCAGGAGATTCTGAACCGCAAGACGTCCAATGGGCGGCAGCCGCTGACCGCCGCCCCGCCCGTCCTTTGCCTCTTCCCCGTGTTCACCAACCTCACCAACTATAGTTGGCTGCAGTGCGATGTGGAAGATCGCCTTGACCTGTCGCCATGGCTCGTGGGCGATGCCGACACGGCACCGAGGCACGTCAGGACCGCCACAATGACGGCGGCGCCTGTTGGGGTCGTTACCACCACCACACACGTGCCAATGACCGTAGCTGGGGGAGGGGAGGTGGCCCTTGGTGGTGGTGGTGGAGGTGGGAAGAGTAGTAGGAGGGTGCCGTACCTGCTGCATGGGCTGCTGCTGAGGCACGTGGTGGAGGGCAGGACCCCCGCGCCCAAATACTACGCATTCATCTCGTGAGTGACGTACACTTCACGGATGGCCATGCATGGCGGATGGGGATGGAGAGGAGAGCATCGCATCCATGTGCTCGTGTGTGTGTGCGTGTGTGTGTGTGTGAAGGTATGGTATGCCATCTCAGGTGTCTGGTGTCCGTCGTTGGCTGCGGATGTATGACGGCCGGCTGGATGCCTGGGAGGAGGTAGAGCCGGGCTGTCTGCAGAAATGGCTCGTCAACAGGGGATTCGTTGTCTGGGGCCTTATATACGCTCGCGTGAGCACCCCCACGCTCCCACACCACCTGCACGCCTGCCTGTCACACACACAACGTATGACCCTCTCTCTGCCGTTCTGCCTTTCTTGCTCTCAGGAGGACATGCTCCCCTCTCTGTCGGCCGACCTCCTCTACCACCCCACAATCACCCTGGCCACATCCGCCCTACCCCCCTATGCCTCCTTCCCAGACATAACCTATGCAATGTTTGCGCCCCCACCACCCAGCCCGCCACCCGCACAAACCGACGACTCACCCAGGAGCGGAAATCGGCCAGCCACAACATCAACATACACACTGAGCAGCAGCACCGCTGGCGGGGCCTCCCGTGCTGCTGAAGACCTGACCGGACGGCTGACGCCAAAGGGAGGAGGCAGTGGCACCTCCTTCGGCTCGGGTCTTCTCTCAGGTGCCGCGTCGGCAATTCTGGGGGCGGCATTGAGCAAGAGCGCCCAGCAGCTGGCGGCCGTGGGCGACGCTGGGGCCAAGGAGGCCCGTGAGCTGGCGTCGCTGGAGAAGGGGCTGAAGAACGAGGTGACCGACATCTTGTCGGCCAACGTCAAGACGCTGACCAAGAGGGAGAGGGCGCGCATGAGGCGCGACGCTGAGGCGAGACGGAAGAAGATACGGGACCTCAAGAGGGCGGACAGGATGATGGCTCTCTATCCATCGGAGATACAACAGGTGGGTGCGTGCGGCTAGGCGGAGGGAGGTACACACAGCTGTAAAGGACACACACATGTGGTGGTGGGGTGTGGTGTGGTGTGGCGTGGTGGGGTGTGTGTCCCTTGACTGAGTGCAGCTGCACCAGATGGAAAAGATCAACGACTTCGTCTTCTCACTGGCTGACGAATGGGACGGGGATGACAACACCCAAGACCTCGAGGCCATATCCACACCCACGACCACCAGCACCAGCACCCCAGACTGGAAGAACAAGCTCATTCGCGAGATCCAGAAGCTCACAGAGATCATCAACCTCGGCACCAAGGCCATCACCGACCCACTGGGTGCCGCCACTGACGCGGTTCAGCTTCACGGTGGCGTCATCAAGGTGCGCCTGGTCACTGAGAAAAACCTCAAGAAGGACAGCTCACGAGGGTTCTTCCGATTCAACGAACTCAAGGCATCGCGAACTCTGGAGGTATAGTGGCGGGGGGATGGCTGGGGGAGTGGGGAAGAGGGAGAGTTGCCTGAATGGAAAGTATGGCTTGCGTCTGTGCCCCTGTGTGTGTGTGTGTGTGTGTGTGTTTCAGGTTCGCTGGGGTGCGGCGGTGGAGAGGCTGATGA